TCCGAATTGAAATTAATGCAGTTTTGGCGAAGTTATGCGATTTTTAAACTTGACTGTCCCAAATATACACAAAATTATAAAAGTACAAATTTCGATTTTAAGAATCTTGCAGAGGAAAATATAATTTTTCAGTGAAGGAGCCATTTCCGACCCTATAAACTATTATATTCTTGATCAGCATTAACAGGCGAATCTTTCTGGCCATCTCAGGTAGCAAACAAGCGTTTCCAATTTTTTGAAAAAATTAAAGGGTTACATCGTTAAAATTGTGAAAAATCTAAAAAATAATTGGGTTTCTAAAAAGGTAAATTTAGTATGCAGATTGTTAGGCGCCAAGCAACTAACTCAGGAGCGGTTTCCGAATTGAAATTAATGGAGTTTGGCGAAGTTATGCGATTTTTAAACTTTGACTGTCCCAAAATATACTACAAAATTATAAAGTACAAATTTCGATTTTAAGAATTTTGCAGAGGAAAATATAATTTTTTCAGTGAAGGAGCCATTTCCGACCCTATAAACTATATATATTCTTGATCAGCATTAGCAGGCGAATCTTTCTGGCCATCTCAGGTAGCAAACAGCGTTTCCAATTTTTTGAAAAAAATTAAAGGGTTACATCGTTAAAATTGTAAAAAATCTAAAAAAATAATTGGGTTTCTTAAAAAGGTAAATTTAGTATGCAGATTTGTTAGGCGCCAAGCAACTAACTCAGGAGCGGTTTCCGAATTGAAATTAATGCAGTTTTGGCGAAGTTATGCGATTTTTAAACTTGACTGTCCCAAAATATACTACAAAATTATAAAGTACAAATTTCGATTTTAAGAATCTTGCAGAGGAAAATATAATTTTTTTCAGTGAAGGAGCCATTTCCGACCCTATAAACTATATATATTCTTGATCAGCATTAACAGGCGAATCTTTCTGGCCATCTCAGGTAGCAAAACAAGCGTTTCCAATTTTTGCAAAAAATGAAAGGGGTTACATCGTTAAAATTGTAAAAATCTAAAAAATTATTGGATTTCTTAAAAAGGTAAGTTTAGTATGCAGATTTGTTAGGCGCCAAGCAACTAACTCAGGAGCGGTTTCCGAATTGAATTAATGCAGTTTTGGCGAAGTTATGCGATTTTAAAACTTTGACTGTCCAAAAATACTACAAATTATTAAGTACAAATTCGATTTTAAGAATGTTGCTGAGATAATAATAATAATATAATTAATATTTATAAAAATTAATCAGTAAAGGAGCCATTTCCGACCCTATAAATCATATATATTCTTGATCAGCATTGACTGAAATAATAATACCCTGGAAGGGTATAAAAATAGAAACACTGCTTTACTTTTCACAATCCATTTATTATTAAATTCCTTTAGCAGTGATTATTTCAGGCATTTAAAATGTCTCGTAAATTCCTTATTGTCCGAATGTTTTTCTTTTTTGTCATGTTTTTTCTGAAAAACTGAGCATCAGCCAAGGGCAAAGGATAACTTGGCAAGTTTTTCCTTTAGCTTTGGATTTTCCTCAACTTTTCCCCCTTAAAGACTGCTGCATGTGCGTTGTGTTTACTTTACCGAGAGTCGCGACAAATATTGTTTTCTGGGTTGAAGGCAAAGGCCTCGGACAACCCTCGGATATTTATTATTATTATTATTATTTCCCAGCACTTATGGCATTAGGCAGCCAAATTATTTGGAAAGTCAGCCCGGAGTCTCTCCCCTTAGGAAATTCAATTTAGAAGACAACCTTGACTTTTGGATTTGTTTGTTCGCTTTCATATTTAATGTTGCCTTCGATATACAAATATTTAAAATATATATTGCTTAGAATGTAATGCTTAAAATGGATGGAATGATGTAACATAGTTCAGTGTGTTTTTTATGTGTTTTTTTATAATGTTTAAATAGTGTTAAGACTACAAAAAGTGAGAGTGAACATGGTACGAGTACAAGTAAAAAATATAATATATAATGCTAACATAATGCATTAACTAAACCAGTTCAAATTCATATGTTATAACCTTCTTCTTCTCTTTTTTTAATGTTTATTTTAGTTTATGTATATAGATCAGTCTGTGTGCATGCACGGCTAACGAAAGTCTCTCTAAAAAAATATATATATCTCATATATAAATAATCGCAATTAAATAGTTATTCGCATTAATAAAAAAAATATATATATATATTAATATATATTATAATAAAGAATCGTGTTTCCTCAGGCCAGGCAAAAGAGTTTCCGCCAAAAGGAGGGCGTGGGCGGCAGGGTGGTGGCACAAGTCCTCCCAAATGGCTGTGTCGAACACATCCTTGACTTTGTCCTGCAAACAAAATAGAGAGAAAATAATACAATTAATAAGCACTGGCTAATTAAATCAATAAGGCGAAAAACAAAAAATAGTTATACTGCCGCACTAATTACAAACTTCTGTGCGTCAGATTAAATATTTAGCCTATAATTAACACACCAATGTTTGTGCATTCATTAAAATTATAGAACAAAAAACTAATTCAGTTCAAATTCCTTTGCCTAATAATATATGCATAATATGGAAAATCTATGCAGAACATTAAGCGTTTCTTTTGCATAATTTATTTACACAATTTAAAGCATACAAACGTATTTATTTCGTAGAGTGAAAGTGAGCTGAAATTAAGCTCTTAAAATGTTTAAATAAATTGAAAGACAAATAAATATACATATATATACATAAATATAAATATACACATATATAAATATAAATATATATAAATCTATAAATATATATAAATATAAATATACAGATATATCAAATATACAGAAAGTTCTTTCCTTTAAATAAATCTTTTGTTCTTGAACACTTTCTGCTTTTAACTTTAGACTAATTATATGCTTCATATTCATATTTTAAAATTTTATTACTCATAAATTGCACACCAAACTTTCTTCTTTCTTTTCTTTTATTTATATTTTTTTTGACTACAATTTCCCAGACATAAATTATGAAAATTCTGTATTCCCCGTCTCTGTTTCTGAGTCGCTTTGGGAGATCAAAAGTCAGCTTATATATTCCCGGAAGTTTCTTTACCAAAAATCAGACATCTCCACTTGCCCAAAGGCATTGCAACTTAATCGGGGTATTGTATATACATATATATAAATATATATTCATATAGTTCGTATTTCCACTCTCGCAACAAATTGTCATCATCATCATCATCATCATCTGCCAAGTGCTGTATAATTTGTTGCAATCGCTTCATCTTCTCGTTGTCGCCATCTTTTTCCGGACATGGGACATTTCCACCTTCGGGGAAATCCACGCAGAGTGCAATGCACGGCGGCATTCATTCGGAAGTGTTGGGGCAAACACAGGGTTTCCCCCATTTCCCAGGGAAAGCTCACAAAAAAAGAGGGAAAAACCACACAATTATGATTATTGTGCGTCTGTCTGTGCGGGCACTGTGACAGGAGGACTCAAAAGGATGACACCAAAGCAGCCAGGACAAGGAGCAGGAGCAGGGTAAAAAAGCAGGGAACAGGGCAGGGAAAAGGAGCAGGGAGAAAGGAAAAGGAGCAAGAGCAGGGAAAAGGGAGCAGGGAAAAGGAGCAGGGAAAAGGAGCAGGGAAAAGGAGCAGGGAACAGGGAAAAGGAGCAGGGAACAGGAGCAGCAGCTCCCTTAGGACTAGTCCCTGGCTCTGACTCTGGACTGCGGAAATTCGCCGGGGTTTTTTTATTTAAGCCAGCTTCTTGTTACTCTACCAAAAATACCTACAAAAGGTTTAGTATAAAGATTTTGGTTTTCTACTAAAGTTAACACCAATTTACCTTCAAAACTAGTACAAGTTTTAAGCTGTAAGCCATAAATATTTCAAAAAAATATTCCAAAAACTCATATGTATATATTTATTTATTCCCCATAACTAAAGGGTATCTTTTGCTTCTCTAGCATCCTTTTTTTTGTGAAGTGTTTACACACAGTCGCTGTGAAGTCAGAGCAATGACTTTGTCTGCCTTTTGGCTTTAATTAATATGAGGTAAGCCCCTTTCCCCTCTCCCTAGTTAGTTAGATAAACTACACTCACCTGTGTGGCTGACGAAGTCTCAATGTATTTTGCGCCAATTGTTGTTGCCAAATCCCAGGCGTCTGCATATGAAATTGCTTTCTCGCCATTTGTCTGCCGAAAAAAAGGAAGGAAATCAAATTCAGTTAGCTTCCAGGCAAATAAAATAAGAATTTCATAAATATTTCAATCACAGTCAGATACAAATAACTAATGTAAGCAGCAGCATTAATAAATCAAATCAAATCAAATAAGGAACCAAAACCCACCTGAAGTTTATTAAGAACATTCGAATTGGTGCGAAGATCGGCCTGTGTCCCACCAAAATCAAAGCGGCCTTGGTTTTGGCAAATTTGGGAGCCCATTTTGCTTTGATGGCTCGAAATGTTTCCGGTTTCACCACCGAAAAGCAAAGCAGAAAGACATCGCTATCGGGATAACAGAGTTCCCTCAAAGGATCCAGTGTGTCCTGGCCGGCGGTATCACAGAGCGTCAAATGCACAGGACTCTCGTTCACATTGACATCGGCTAAAAGGAAGAAAGGATTAAATAATTAGAGAGAAAATTCAGAACTTTAAAAGGAAAACCTTTCAATGGGTTATCAAGAAATAATTGAAATATATTAAAGAATATTTGAATATTTATAATTTAGAATATAAAATAATATAACGAATAAAAGAATATTAAAATATTCTTGTCAAAGATGTATTGCCTTAAAAGATACACATTTTAAAATACTAAAAAATACTTTTCACCTATTTATTATCTTCATAAATACAGTTTCAACAATAATTAAATACATGATTAATTCATTAAAAGTGACCAAGAAAGTATATTCTTTTAATTTTTAAAGGTATAAATTCTCAATTGTAGATTTCTGCCTTAAGCTTTTTAACAACATTACTCTGTATTTTTTTTTATAAATAAAGAAATTCTCTCAAATATTTAAAAAATAAGTCAGCTTTTAAAAAGATTGAAAGCAATTTCATATCATTATTACCACTTATTCGATCTGCGTTTATTTGGCAAATGAATCAATCAATCGGGATTGTGTATGTGTGTGTTTTTGTATGTGGCCTGGTTTAATTTAATTGCAAAATATGTAAATTACTCTTGTACTGAAACCCATCCCTCCCCTTGCCCTATAGCAATCCCTTGCTATTGGAATTTAATTTAATTTAATTTAAAATGCTTTACCAATCCTTTTGTCCCCTCCACGCAAAGTGCACATTTTTGGCATAACATTGAACAACACACACTCTCCACACACACACACACACGTTTTACGACAGGTAGTATCTCTGGTTGACCCACAGATACACAGATACACAGATACACAGATACATACATACAGATACAATGGGTGGAAAATTGCAAATGCCAGAAATTTTGCCAATTCATTTGAGTTTCAGCCATTTTCCTCTCTTCTCACTCCCTTCCCATCCTTCTTTTGCGGTTGAAATAAGTAAGCCATAATCTGAAATATGGCCAAGACCACTAACTAAATTAAGGTAAGACGAAATTGGTAAACATTGTTAAGCCAAGATTTAGAGACTACAATGTTTTGTCACAGAGATCTACATAAAATAAATGTGTCAAAAGTAAAGAAAATGATTTATTATATGAAAATATATTTGCAAAGAAATAAAGTTTGGTTATTTTCTAGTATTTAAAATCAAGTTCAAGCTGGAACTAAATCATAATTTGGGTTGATAAAGCATTTAAATAAATATAAAATAATATTCTAGTCAGTTAATTTAATAAGAATGTGCTTAAGTACTTTAATTATTTTAGTTTTCCCTTTAATTAAACCTTTTACAGCTTAATTTTCAAGGATATTTTCCGCTGAGTTTGAGAGACTTTTGTCTTTGTTTAATGAATATTTACTTTTCCAGTTTTTTGTGCACAATGATAACATCCATTTAATTCCATCTAGCTTCTATATCTACATATGCACACACACCATTTTCCTCTCTACTCAAGACAAGAGGTAGGAAAACTCTCCCTCCCCCAGCAAGCACTAACAATGGAAAATTCTAGCAAGTGAATTAGTAAAGGGAAATCCCCTCCCCTCTCTTTTTCCACCCTTTTGAACAAAAAAAAAAGAAAAAACACCCACTTTTCCCATGTGTTTTAAGCAAAGAACATTCATATTTAAAAGCAGGTGAAAATGATTTGAATGATGGGCAAAAGAGGAGAAGCAGGACGAGTGCACACTTGGAAAACTTGAGGAAAGTTTGGAAAATTTTGCACCTACAATTATAAACTTTATTTTGCAAATTGAGAATGTGACTTGAAATTAGAGAAATGGAAAAGATCCTTAACCTAGAACTGAATTTTAAACTTAAATCTGCAAATTGAAAACAATACTTGAAATGAATGAAAAAAAACTTGGTTTTAAAATTAAGTTTGCACATTGAGAACTTAACTTTAAATTAAAGAAAAGGAAAAGATCACCTAGAACCTAAAACTTGGTTTTAAACTTAATTCAAAACATCACTTAAAATTAGTGAAAAGGAAAAGATAACTGACCTAGAATTTGGTTTTAAATTTACTTTGGAAATTGAGAACATGGTTTTAAATTAGAAAAAAGTTTCCTTTAACTAGATTTTAAACATATGCAAATTGAGAACATGACTAGAACTTATAGAAAAGAAAAGATAACTAACCCTAGATCTTGATTTTAAACTTAACTCAAAACATGACTTAAAATTAGTTAAAAATAATAGATAACTGACCTACAATTTGGCTTAAAACTTTATTTTGCTAATTGAGAAAACGGTTTTACATTAGAGCAAAAGAAAAGACAGTTTCTTTGAACTTGAACTTTTAAAATTAATTCGAAACATGACTTGAAATTGAAGAAAAAGAAGAGATCATTGAACTAGGACTTGGTTTTGAAATTAATTTTTTATATTGAGAACATGACTTGAAATTAGTGAAAAGGAAAAGATTACTTAGTACCTAGAACTTGGTTTTAAACTTAATTCAAAACATGACTTAAAATTAGTGAAAAGTAAAAGAAACCTAACTTACAAGATTAAGAAAAGATCAGTTTTCTATAACTTGATTTGAGAACATGACTTTAAATTAATGAAAACGAAAAGATAACTAACCCTTGATCTTGGTTTTAAACTTAATTCAAAACATGATTTAAAATTAGAGAAAAGAAAAGATAATTTTTCCACAACTTATATGTAAATTATATATTTAATACTTGAAATATCCTTTAATTTTCCCCACTGTATCCTGTAAGGCCTATCTGATTTTTTTCAAGTCAAAATTGACCTCGCCGACTGGAATACAACATGGCACACCCTCGAACACCTAGACCTTCTCCTCCTCTGATGGGTGTGTGTGTGTGTGGTGTGTGGTGTGTGTGTCCTATCTAAAAGTTAATCATGGCTGCCTTTCATTGAATGCAGCAGCAAACAGCCTCCATTTTCCCTTCCACCTGTCCGACTGTGTTTGCCCTGCGTAAATAAAGTTGCCGCTGCACGGGGATTTTCCTACATTTTCCTACATTTTCTTTTTGTATGAAACAAACCTGCAGGAGGCTGGGAAACTGCAACGCGAAGGTCGACCCATGGGTCCTGCACTGTGTGCAGGGCCTCATGTAAAATAAATTTAATTTTGTGCAGCGCATGAAATTCATGAATACATTTTTCGGGGGCAGAGAACCAAAGAAAAAACAAGGAACCTGACATTGATGGAGGGAGGGAGGAGTCACCTTAATAAAGTTTACCTCATTCTAACAAAATTTGTCTTAGGTGAAAGTAAAAGCCAGGCCTTAAATAAATTAGTAAGGCTTTCCCAGTCATATAAGCAAGGTTTCAAGGTGTTTAATTAACATCTTCATTCAATAATTTCCCTTAAAACCTCTCTCTCTCTCTCTCTCTCTCTATTGTGACCTTATCAGTGGCCACTGATTTCCTCTATTTTTCCTTATTTATCCCGCCAAAAAAAGTAAAAGTGGTATCAATGCCAACACACATTCAATGCTTTTAACCGCTTTTAACAAAAGGGAAATTGTTTGCCAGCTCAGCTGAAAATCGCTTTACGCCAAAAAGGAGAACAAAACACAACAGAAAAACGAACTAAAGAAAGGAATAGAAAACTGAAACGGGAAAACTGTGGGAAAAAGAGGACAAAAGGCAAAGCATCGTTAGCGGTTGCCTCCTTTCTGTCAATCTAAGCTGGGGGGAAACTCACGAGGAAAACTCCATTGAAAACACACACAAAGCAAGTGAGCAATTGTGTAATTGTGAGCTCAAAAGTCAGCTGTTGGGGCATTTTCCCCTCCTCACCTATTGACACCTAATTGAGTCTGCCATCTGTCAGCGATATACATAGAGTATATATAGTATATTTATATACATATATATCCTTTTGTCTGTTCAACAACAACAGCAAAGAAAGAATCCAGCGATTTCACGCACTTGGAGCAAGTCAATTAGCCAAGCAGATATCCTTTTACATCCTTGGCTCTCACTTAATTAGTTGGATAGACTAAGCAAAAAAAAAAAACAAAAGAAAACTTATGCTTAAAGGCAAAACTAGGCCGAAGAAAATGTATATATACCAAAAGGATAATAGAGTACCTATTAGAATATAGAGCCTTTTATACACTCTCTCTTATTCAGTAAATTAATTATATGCTAATTTATAATGTAAAACCTGAAATTTATCTATTACAATCTATATTGTTGGATTAGAAAGTTTGCTTAACTGATGTACCCTTCCTTTAAGCAACTTCCTCGACAGTTAAAGCCGATTTTCAAATACACAGGTTCAGTAACAGGATTCAGGCAAAGAAGGTCCTGGAAATTCCTGGAAATGTGCAACAAAGCTAAGAGTTACTTCGCTATTCCTCGTATTTAAAGGTCCTCGAACTTTGCCATTTGTAGCTAAAAGGAGCTTCAGCAGTTCTAGGAACTCCTGCGTATACGTAATTTTAAGCTCAGCAATAAAGAACGATATCCTAGATGTTATATAACTGCTAAAAGGCATTTAGAGAAAGTCTAATCCCTTTTTTAGGCAGAATAAAATGTTTTAAATACCATAAAAATTTTGTTCTCTTTAAAAAATACCTGCAATCCTTACATTTTTCTAAAGAAAATTAAGCAAAACAGAGGAAAATAAAGTAAGCTGGTTATTTAATTAGCAGAAGAGCAGGTACAAGTTTGTATATATTTAAATTGTAAATATAAAAGGTTTCCCACATTTTGTCTAACTTAAATCAAGTAATTTGGAAAAAATTTATAGAACAATTTACAATTAAATATTAAAAGGTTTCCCACATTTTTGTCTAACTTAAATCAAGTAATTTGGAGAATATATATATATAATAATTTATCACTTTAAAGCTCAAATATAGCAATTATTACCTAAAAAATTCCCACCTAGTGTAAACTATAATTTATTCCTCTTTTACCTTAAGGCCAAACTTTATATAACTAAGTTTATCTCTTTTAGTAGCTGAATTTTTAGCCTCCAAAAACTCGAGTATGCAAATTCATGCAAAATTTATTTAAAATCAGCCCAAAGGCAGTCAGCCTGGGTTAAGATTTCAGCAACCAAGGGTTAAGCATAATTCAATCAATTGCACATGAAACCTCATACCAAAAAAAGGAAAACAAAGTCAAGTATCCACACACACACACACCCACACACATTTTGTGTTGAATTACCACAACATTTTCAATTTTCCGTTCATTAAAATTCGTGAATAGCAGAAAAACTCACACTTCTCACACACTTCAAAAAAAAGGGAGTCAATGAGGATGCCAAGGCAATTCTATCCTCGTCTCAAGTAAATCTCCTCTCCCTTTCCCTTTATATTCAACACCAATTTCCTTTTCTTTTTTTGCCTACTTCCGGCAACTGTGTTTCCTTGAAAACTCATCCCATCCCTCACGCGGAAAAACTCGGGGTAAAGATTTCACAAATTGGTTTCAACAAAATGAAAAATTCATATACGTGCCAAGCCTCAGAGTCTCACTCGCTCCGCTTTCCCTTCCCCTTAAATCGAAACGAAGGTCGAGGGAAAATGTGGGGAAAATGCGGGAAAAGTCTTGGCATTTGAATGGAGGAATTGGAGGGGAAGAGAAGAGACGAGACCTGTTGAAAGGACGAAGTCCACTCACCATTATAAATGTCTGAGGCCGTTGGTATGTGCTCGGGATTGAAGCGATTCTCCAAATATGAAAGGATCAAATTCGTCTTGCCCACGGCTCCATCGCCCACTAGGACGCACTTGATCGAGGGTTGAGATGGTGTGCTGCCAGCTATAAGGATAATAAAGTTAATAACATATTTAAAAAATATAAAATAAGCTATGTCAATAATAAATAAATTATCCTCTTGCTTATGGGAATTTTTTCACCCTTTAAAACTCACTCTTTTTGACACCTTTTTTGGTGTTTGTTGCCACTTCAGCTGCTGTTGAATTTGCTGCATTTGTTTTCTTTGATTTACGTTTGCGCAATAAGAATTTAGATCCTTTGCCACTGCTGGCTGCACTTGTGTCACTCAGGGATTGTTGCTGCAAATTTAATACAATAAAAATTGATAAGTACATTAAAAATAATTCAAATTTAAAAATAATGTGTATAAATTGGGTTGTTTCATATACTAGATATAACTAGATAAAAGCTTCATTTGAGCTGCATTTAAATATATCCTTGAATATAATATAAAACCAAACAAGACTTTATAACAGCATTGTATTATTTAATACATTTGTATATATCTTTCTATATTCAACAAATTAATAATAAAGTTAAACGCTAAATTCTACATAAATTAAAGTAAAATTCTGGCTTTTTAATATTGTTAAATAATATATGTAAAGTAGCTGTCTCTAACAGTCAATTCTATATTAAATATAATCGAAAAATATAAATTTCCTTAACTTTTTATCACTTAATGGTCAGTAAAGTAACCAAGCTTAATAAAATAATGAATTATCATTTAATTAATAGAAAAGTAAGCACGTACATTAAATAATTCTTTACTTTATATAAAATCCCTTTATCATATATTGTTTAAATGCAGTTTTCAAGGCAAAGTACATCTTCTGCATTTAGACTTTAATCAAAATTATATTATTTTGTTGCCGCATTTAATACTTTTCTATATTTATTTCTATATACAACAAATTAATATACAATTAATTCTATAAATTTTATATAAATTAAAGTACAAAACAGGCTATTTAATATTATAAAATAATATATATGAAAAATTAAACCCTCACTAACTTTAAATTATATATTTAGAACATTCTCAAAATTTAATTTTCTTTCTCCTTTTCTGCTTAATTATTAGTAAAGTAAGCAATATAAATAAAATAAACGTTAACTTTATATTAAATCCCTATAAATGATGTCCTTAAAAAGCACTTTTCAAGATTCAATACATTAGCAACCATTGCTGCAGTTAGATTTCCATCAAAATTTGATTATTTTGCATTTAATACCTTTCTATATGTATATTTTATATACAACAAATTAATATTTAATTTAAACTATAAATTTTATATAAATTAAAGTACAAATCAGGCTATTTAATATTATAAAATGGTATATATAAAACGTAAGTTCTCCTTAATATATAAATATTAAGTATACTTGTAAAATTCCATTTCTTCTCTATTATTTTGCTTATAATAATCTAATGTATGTTACTTACTTTTAACATTAGTAAAGTAACTGATCTAAATAAAATAACCCTTAACTTTTTATCAAATCCCTTTTAATAATGTCCTTAAAATGCACTTTTCGAGTCTCAACTAAATTTGCAACATTTGCTGCATTTAAATTTCCATCAAAATGTAATTATTAATACAATTCTGTATTTAATTCTATATACAACAAATATTCAATTTGAACTATAAATTTTATATAAATTAAAGTACAAAACAGGCTATTTAATATTATAAAAAAATATATTGAAAAGTTAACTCCCCTTAACTGTCTTTTATACATAAAATATACTTGTAAAATTCAATGTACTTTTTCTTTTTACGCTTAATTAGTAGCAAGCAACCTTAATAAAATAATTCTTTACTTCATTTAAAATCCCCTTAAATAATGTCCTTAAAATGCACTTTTCGAGTCTCAACTAAATTTGCAACATTTGCTGCATTTAGATTTCCATCAAAATTTGATTATTTTGTTGCCGCATTGCGTATACGCCCCATGAGTGTGTCTATGTGTGTGCTCCTTGCTCCTTGCCAAATGTTGCCAAGAAGAGTGGCAATTAAATAATGAAAGACAACAGATTGAGCCAGCTGTGTGTGTGTTAGTGTGTGTTGCATAGGTGTTGTTGTGGCAAAAGAGAGAGAGAGAGGTGGTGCAGGGGGAAAGTGTGAACTAATGTCTAGCGCGACACTTTTGCCTTGCCCGACTAATTTAATATGCACATATAAATTAGTCAAGAAGACAGCAGATGGTCTGCGGGAAAAAGGAAAATGGAAGCGGATGTTCAAGAGACAGACAGAGAGAGAGAGAGAGAGAGTAAGAGAAAGAGACAGCGAGAGAGAGTCAGACTGACATAAAAAAATCCTTGTAAATGTTGCAACAACCGGAATTGAAGCCATTTTGTTGAATAAATTGCGTATACGCCACTTTTCCCTTACTTTTCCTCTTAGTTTTGTTACTTTTATTTGCTTTAATTTTTTATATTGAATTTTAATGTCATTACTTTAGTAAAATACACTCATTCCCCTATGATTAAATATTTCGTTTTTTATTTGCAACGCTCAGTTAATAAATATTTTGCTTGTTTGATTTATTTCACTTTTTTTTAAACCAATTTAATTTATGAGCAACAGTTTGCAAATATTACTCAGCTGTTTGTTGATTAAATCAAAACGTTTAATGGCCAACAAAATGCTGCACTTGAATAAATCATTAAAAAGAATTCAGGAAGATGGATAGAAGCAACTGATACCCAGGGATATATATAGTATAATTAATATATATTTAAAGTTAAATATTTACGAGTTCATTATACCCCACTTTACCATATATTTACACTCCGAAATTCCTGAATTTTTGTATATAAATTCCTTTAATTTATTATATATTCAAGTGTAGCCATAAATAAATCACATTTAGAGTGGAAAACCAATGTTTTATTCATTTAAAATGGTTTTAGGATTAAAACCCATATACTATTTTGTATAGAGTTACACATATTTCCCCCATATCAATCATTACATGTTACAATGGCCAATTACAGGGATACATATCGATCGGAAAAAGGCAGGGAAAAGTGCGGAAAATACAATCCAAGGGGGTGAAGAAACATATTTGCCAGACGCTATCTAAATCAATATCTAAATTGCTCTGCGTTTTGTCGTTGTCAACTTGAGAAGGTCGGTCGGTTGGTTTTCCGTTTCCACACCTTGCACACTTTTCCCTGCTACCCGCAGAGTTTTCCCAATGCTTTTGCCATTTTCCGCTTGTTAGGCGATAATATCGCATATACAAACACACACACGAAAAGAAAAACTTAAAGTTGAGTAAAAATATCCACACAATCGATAAGGCCAAAAAGGTTTGACCTTTTCAAAAATGAAATTGAAAAGAACTAGAGTCCAAAAATAAATAAATATAATCTGAAAAATCAGGCAATTAGCTTGTAAACCGAATAAAAGCATTAACAAATTACTCAATGTTCTTGGTCATTCACATACACATTTTCATAGCCACTTTTCCATTTATTTGCTCTCTTTTTAGGGAAAACTTTTTGGACTTTCGTTATGGACAGTTTGCGTCATAATTTCCTGCCCTGACTTTGATCCAACTTTAGCTTGAGAATTATTCACAGCTCTCAATCAACACACACAAAACATGGAGATTTTGGTCTCTCTTTTAAATTAAATTAAATTAAAACGACTGTCTCCATCTCGCTCTCTTTCACTTAACTTCCTCCTTAAGCTGACTAAAAAATAATTCCTATATTTTTTGTATGCTTTTTTTTTGTTCTTTGCCATTTTTGGTACATAAAACCGAAAGTCAAAGCCAAGTTTCTCTTCTTGACAGCGCAACTTTGCTGCAGACACACACAAAGAAAAAAGAAAAACGGGAGAAGGAAGAGGAAAATATGGAAAACCCCGAAGAGAAGGTTAGTTTTATAAGACGAAACTTTAAACACCCTTTGAGGTTAATATCTTTACGTAAAATCTATACAGAATTAGACTACAATTGTATAAATTATGTTAATAACTTTTAATGCTGATCTTTAAGTTATTTAAATCTTTGTAAATCTCACAAAGGAAAATATGGAAAAAGCCCTGAAGAGAAGAATATTTCAATAATACGAAACTGGAAATACTCTGTGAAGTTAATATCGATATGAGAGAACTTAGAGAAGAAGGATAGAATTGTATAAATTATATCGATATAATATGTTACATAAGCTTTGTATATCGATTTTTAAGTTATTTAAATCTTTGTAAAACTCACAAAGGAAAATATGGAAAGAAGGCTTGTTTTGGAAGCCGAAGCTTGAAATACACTTTAAAGATAACACCCTTTGTAAAAACTATACAGAAAAAGACTACAATTGTATAAATTATATCAATTGAAAGCTAAGAATTTTTAATACTGATTCGTAAGTTATTTATTTCTTTATAAGTCTTACAAAAGATAATACGGAAAACCCACGAAAATAATGCCAGTTTCATAAGAGGAAGTTTGAAATACCTTTTAAAGTCAATACCCTTATGTGAGAACTACATATACAAAATTAGAGTTATCGATAAAATCGATATTATCGATAAAAACCTTTGTTATTTATTTCTTTGCAAGTCTCATAGGAACCACATCCCCTTAAAAGGGTATTAACAAAAAAGTACAAATAGGAGAAAGGACAGTAAAATATAGAAAAATCATGAAAAGACTAATTTCATAAGACGAAGCTTGAAATACTCTTTAAAGTTAATCTCTTTATGTAAAAATTATACAGAATAATAAGACAATTGTATAAATAGTATACATTTAAAGCCAATAACTTTTAATGCTAATTTGTAAGTTATTTTTAAATCTCACAAAAACCACATCCATATACCCCTTGAAAGGGTATTACAAAAAAGCGAAAACTTTCCCAGATATTTTGTGCGTGTGTTTTAAACTAAATAAGCTGGTGAACCTTAAGAGAACTGGCCGCCATGTCAAATGTTGCCAAACCCCGGGAGCTATTTTCTTTTGGGAAGTCGAAAAAGTTACCATTACTTCCTGAAACTCCAACTTACCCCCCAAAAGGACCTTTCGGTCATCGCAAATATGCAACTTTTTAATAATTTCATTGGACCAAGCCCACACTTTACCAGCGCGACCAACATACTTATGTACTTATAATTTTATTTCGAATTTTCAACATTTTTTTGCGCACTTTGTTTGTTGGTTGAAAAGTTTGTCGCCTTAACCCTTGAACGAAATGTTTTCGCTTTTGTCCCTTGGGGAAGCCCCCAACTTGAGTCAAATAATCGAGGAGAAAATATTGCCTTTCCTTTATATATTTCATACCTAGAGT